AGCATGACATGAAAACTTGATATGCATCTAAAGTCCATTCATATGGCCTATATGACTTAACTTATATAACATTCCCTGAAAGATTTAAATTGCTTAAAGCATATAGAATTCTTGGTCATGAGGTACTACGTCCTAAGTGCAATTTGTGCACATATGTATCTTGCTACAACTATAAGCATGATAATATGATAGCGAGAATCTCTATATATATATTGAAAATGCATTCATCGGCATTATATGAAGATATTATATATCTATCAAGAATGATGATTTCAAGGTGCAACATATTCATTCAAGTTAATATGGTTGATTTGTTTATCAAATCTCTACCAACGATATTTTAAAGATGTAGCACAAGATTGAAATGCGAAGACTCAAAGATGTGAATAGATTCTCATCAGGGGGAGTTAATATGCATTGTACTCTTTTTTTCCTTATAAGGTTTTGTCCCACTAAGTTTTCCTTGCAAGGTTTTTAATGAGGTAACCAAAGGGCGTATTGTTAGATATGTGTACTCTTTTTCCTTCACTAAAACTTTTTTCCACTGGGTTTTATTTTAATTAAGGTTTTAACGAGGCACATTATCTGGTAATTGACATTCAAGGGGAGTGTTATAAATAGTATTTTATTTATGGTGAATGTCTATATTTTAGAGAGATTTTAGGGTTTGCTACTTGGTGGATAAGTCACTCTTTCCCTATAAATAGAGGGGTTCTATTCAATTGTAATTCATCTCAAATCAATAAGAATTCTCTCTCTACTTTTCTCGCAATACTCTTCTTCTTCTTTTATTGTTTTATAACAATTTTGGAAATTTTAAATACTATAGATAAATAATGCACCCTATTTATTATAAACCAAAATACTTTAAAAATATTATTATTTATAGATAGTTTTTATATTTTATAGCAAAGTACAAATATATACCACTGATCCCTCAACTTTTCCTCAACCCTCTCTCTTCTACCTCAATTCTGTAACGACTCAACCGGTCGTTTTGCCTTCTAAAACTATGTTACCCTAAATACGACTTCCCATATGTTCTTTTACTGTTTTATGACTTGCGGGGATGGTTAGTTCGAGTTGAAATCGGAACATTTGGTTCCTTAGTTAGATTTAAATAGGCTAAGTTTGACTTCGGTCAATATTTTGAGAAAACGACCCCGGAATCGAGATTTGGTGGTTCCAATAGGTTCGTATGATGATTTTAGACTTGGGCGTATGTTCGAATCGGATTTTGGACAACCCGAGAGTGTTTCAACGCTTAATAGTGAAAATTAGCTATTTGAAGGTTTTAAGGTTTTTTAAATTTGGTTTGGAGTAGGTTTTGGAGTAATCGAGGTCCATTTAAAATTTCGAGCCTGAGAATAGTTCCGTATGGTGATTTAAGACTTGCACATAAAATTTGGAGTCATTCCGAGTAGTTTAAGTATGTTTCGTCCCGTTCGGAGTAAGTTTGAAGAATTTGAAATTTCTAAGTTGAATCAATTTGGTTTGAGGTATGATTCTTAGTTTTGATGTTATTTTACGCATTTCGAGGGTTCAAACGAGTTCGTTTTATGATTTCATACTTGTTGGTATGTTCGGGCTGGCCCCGGGGGGACTCGAGTGATAACCGGACGAGGCTCGGACCAAGTTTGGACTTGGGAGCAACAGTTGAAGCTTCCAGCTTCTGGTGCATTCGCACATGCGCTTGGACAGCCGCAGGTGCAAGCTCGCAGGTACGAGACACGAGTCGCAAAATCGAACCAGGGAGGGAAGCCCAGCCATCCGCAAGTGCGGAAGTTTTGGCGCACATGCGAGTGCGCAGGTGTGAAGCCATTGAGCGCAGGAGCGGACAGGTCGTAGGCGCGTAGGAATTGTCGCACCTGCGGACACACAGAAGCGGTCCTTTGGTCCGCAGGTGCGGAGCCTGGTCAAGTAAGGGAACTCGCTGTAGTGCGGGACCTCAGATGTGGCAGAGGGTCCGCAAGTGCAAAAATCACATAAGGCAGAACATTCATTTAAGTCGGGGTTTGAGTATTTTTGACTCATTATTCTCCATTTTTGGGCGATTTTGGAGCTTCTTGAGAGGAGTATTCACCTAGCAACTTGGAGGTAAGTTAATTCTATCTATTGTGAGTTAAATATATAGATTATAACATGTAAATTGTGAAAATCAAGGGTTTAGATGAAAAACCTAGGTTTTGATAAAAATGAGATTTTAACCACGAAAATAGTTATGGAATGGTATGAAAATTATATATTTGAGTTCTTGAGATTATGTGTAATGATTTCATTCGAAAATTTTCGGAATCCGGGCACGTGGGCCCAATGTGAATTTTAGGAATTTTACCATTTTGGGTTGAGTAATTAATCTAATAATCTAATATCGAATTATTGAGCATGTATTAATTAAATTATATAACATTTGGCTAGTTTCGGATTTTCCAGCGCCAAATTGAGGCTTTAACGCGAAATTGTGATCGGGAAGTGAACTTTGAGACGAGGTAAGTCTCTTGTCTAACCTTGTAAGAGGGAATTTACCCCATAGGTATTGTAAATAAATATTTACTTCTAATTGTGGGGGATACGTACGTACGAGGTGACGAGAGTCCGTGCGTATCTATTATTATGCTATTGTTCGGGTAGTTTTAGGACCCAATTCATGAACTATTTAAAATTTTGCACTATACTTGTTAAATTAAAATGCCTAAATTATATTAGAACTTGTTAGAGAAATTCTGAAAAGTAGTTAATGAAATTTGTATTATCTTGGATATAAATCATTAATAATGTTTAAGTCAAATGCTTATAAAATATTCATTGTCCTCTTGTGGAGCGAGCCGAACGCCTCGCCAGTAGATAGATGCATCTATGGATCGTGTCGCACGTCCCTCGGTAGTGTACACGACACTCTGGATCGGGTCGTACGACCTCGGCATAAATCGTGCTTAATAATAAGAATTACACGATGCTTTGATATTTTATTGCAGCTTGTGAAGATAAATGAATTATTGAAAATTATTAAATTATGAAAGAATTATTTATTTCTGCTTGTTAAGGAAATTATTGTTATTCACATAACTATGTTTATTTAAAAATCTTTATCTTAATATTATTGACCCATAGTGAGTGTCAAAGTCGACCTCTCGTCACTACTTCTTCGAGATTAGACTTGATACTTACTGGGTACACGTTGTTTACGTACTCATGCTACGCTTGCTGGACTTTTTGTGCAGGATCTTAGACAGGTGCATCAGGCGGTCCTACCAGTGCACATCCCCGTTATCCCGAGGCATAGCGGTGAGCTGCCTTTCCTGAGTCGTTCCGCAGCACCTAGTGTCTCTCTCTTTCTATTTATATTATGTCTATTATGTTCAGACAGTACTTGAAATTTTGCATAATCTACTATATGTTCATATACTTGTGACACTAGGTCTTGGCACACACTTTAGTAGAATTATGAGTTGAAATTGTTATTTTGGTTTTTATTTATTTAGACTTTCTATTTTTCTTAAATCTTGCAAGTAAGGAAAGTTTAATTACTCGAAAATTTATTAAAAGAGAAAATATATGTTTAATTCATTAGTTGGCTTGCCTAGCGGTGATGTTGGGCGCCATCACGACCTATAGGTAAAATTAGGTCATGATAAATTTTCTCCATTTTCCCTCTCTTCGGCAAGTTCTCTCCCTTTTCCCTCTCTCTTCGGCAAGGTCTCCGTCTTCTCCGGTGACTCACCGCCATGGCTATATTTGTTCAGATTTCCGGCGACTCTGCTTCAAATTTTCTTCTTCTCCGGCGACTCTGCTTCAAATTTTCAAAAACTTAATTCGTAGCCATGGCTAGATCTCCCAAAAGAATCAAAAGAGCAAAGTTGTTGCTTTATATCCAATTGATTGATATAATATTCATTCTCACTGAACTCTTTTCTTTCTTTACCCCTGCCTTTAGCTACCCTCCCGATCTCCCAAAAACAAAATTATTTCTTCAATATTACCGGTTGCTTTATATATATAATTGTTATTAATTTTAATTATATTCACAAAGAGCGATGCCACCTATTGGGTATGAAATGCCGGAATTCTTCTTCACTCTTCTACTTCACTAGAATCCTATATATTTCGATAAGATAAGATTCAATTGTTTTTGCACTAATACCTTAGTTTGGAGTGCATTCGGAGTGTGCTTTTATTGTTGTTTGAATATAGTCGAATTGAATACAACGTAAAATAGTTAAGAATGAATATAGGTGAACTGAATACAATGTATACCGAATTGAATAGAGTTGTAAACACCTTATTTTTTGATTTTTTGTTGTTTGAATACAACTGAATTCAATATAATGAAATTCAATACAATGCAAAACAAATACATGTGAATTAAATACATTGTATACAATCGAATTGATACATGATGATTTATTGCGTTTTTCGTTATTAAACAGTTGTAATCCCTATTTTTTTTTTAGGCGTATTACCTCATTGTATTTACAAAATACAGTCGCGCGAATACATGAAATACATAATTAAACAGTTGTAATCCCTATTTTTTAGGCATATTAACTCACTGCATTTATAAATACAGTCGCGCAAATACATGGAATACAGCACAATAGCAACAAAATTGTAGCTAAGACCGGTAAATATGGATATTGTAGCTATAGCACGTTAATAACCACTTAACTATAGTAGTTTCTGAAAATTCCTCTTTTATTTTCCATTCCAAGTTAGTGTATAATAACAAGAATTACAAATTGTAGATTAGTTTAAGATAATAGTGTATAAAAAATTATATATAATCAGTGCACAAAACTAAAAAGATAAAACATCAAAGTACATTCAAACTCTTTCATAAAACTTTGGATGGTTCTGAAAACCATTCTCAGTAAAATTAACTATAATTCCCTTCCCCCCACCCCCACCCCCAAATGGTTCTGAAAACCATTCTCAGAGAATGTTTTTGATAGTTTTTATTTTCAAAGATCTAAAAATAATAGGCTGTTTAAATTTTCTAGCAGTTTTGAAATTGTTAGCTCAGAATTTCAACTGTTCCAATACAGAAGCACAACTTTTCCAAGAAATGAACACATTTAAGAGAATGATTCTGTGTTATAATGAACAGTGAGTGTACAACCTATAATATTGCTAGAATGTTGATGCCTTCTTATAGGAAGCAACTGCCTAAGAAATCCATGAAGTTGAAAATTGATGATTTACTCAAAAGTACAATTAAAAGGGTGCTATGCTCTTTGGTGTCATTCTTTCAACTTTTCCAACCCTGTGAGGAGGCCACACAACATGGGTGACCCTTCCACGAACCAAACCCAGAGGGATCTGAAACAGAAAGCATTCAAGTCAATGAGAACTAATCAAATAACCTAGTTAAAAAGTTAATTGCAAACACCAATATAGGCACGCTAAGAGTAGATTTTTTTCCTCGCTCTACAATGACTTCCATTTAGGAACCATTAAAATGTCACTATACACTAAAGGATTTGAAATGCACCTCAGAAGGTCTAGCAACAACAGGATCTAATCTATTTTCATTTAGAGAGTACTTATGCCAAAATGATTTCTAATTCTTTTGAAACAGTACTTCCCAACAGCTAATCTTTCCTAACATAGAAGACTGACACATATGTATTAAGTTAGTAAATTTACAAAGTTTATCGGATTCTTTGTGTGTTAAATTCCTATTCAATCAACAGATGAATATGGAGTAATATGTAACATACAGGACCAAAAGATCTCGAGTCCAAGCTCCAAGCATGATTGTCTCCTTCAACCCAACAATGTCCTTCAGGGATCAATACTGCATCATAATGAGGGGTACTGACCAAATCACCTGGTAAGGCTGTTATTCTCTTTATATGTTTCTCTTTATGATTAGCTGGAGAGCTGAAATGAACGTCAACCAAAAATCAGACTTGATGGGTTCAAAAATATAGCCAAAAATAAGAAAACACATTAAATAATATATGAGCAGGCATTTTCTCTGCTCTACCCTCAAAACAAGAGATGAAAGTATCGTAACAATAGATTTGCTACAAAATTTATCAAACACCCACCTGAATTAGAGAAAATACCATCTTAAAATATACTTTCTAATGACCTAATACTAAGAATTAACTATTGGTGTAAAAACAAATATCTCAAATCATTAATGGTTAGAAAAGACTCAGATAGGCTGTATAAGGACAGAATATGTTAAACAAGGGCAGATCCTTGCTGACCACTTTAAGTTTTCCTGGTCAAACAAGATCTAGCATACCCCACAAGTTAACAGTGGTCATCAACTTAAGTTGAATCAGCACACCTTGATAAGTCACCAAGAGAATCATATTTAAAGAAGAACAAACTGTGTTTAGAGGCCATTATACCATTACAAAGAAGGCAACTTCCTCCACAAACTAAATTTCAAATCAATTTCAGATAAAAACTTCTAGTAGTGTAGCAGACTTCCCTTTTCTTATCATTTGACCAGATTCAAAAGAGGCATGTGCTATTCACATGACTATGTACTTGGGTATACTAGACACTCAAAGGGCAGCTCGGTGCGAACTCCCGCTATACGCAGGGTTAGGGAAAGAGCTGGACCACATTGGGTCTATTGTATGCAACCTTATTTCTGCAAGAAGCTGTTTCCATTACGTATACTACTTTCCCAAAAAATAGGCAACTTTAAACAATCTTTTCCTCCAAACTTTGCTAGAATTCACGAATTAAAATTAGGAGAAGGCAATTTAAACAAACCCCTTTTAACTTTTTGTCCAGTACAAAGTATGAGCATGGAAAGATTCGCACCAACTAGATCATACAGGGGAAAATAACCTTCTTTGCAACAGTTTATGGGCCTTTATTGCAACGTATTCTTTCAAGAACGACGAATGATTCTTTCCACCAAAAACACATTGAAGATAAGAGAGATTCTGGTCTTTCATTGGATTTTCTCTTCACGAGAAGCTGTCCATAACTCAACGCATATGCATGTCTTTCCATGAAGAACTTGATCTGACTATTCACTTAATCTAATTACTCGGCTACAGATTTACGAGTATCAACTGACTTCCTATGGGATTTTTAGGAGAAGTTATTGGAAATTAATGAGACCATGAAAGAGTCTTGAACTATCAACACAGCCTATGGGGTGAGCAATTGGAAGTCCATCAGAGCATTATGGGAAGACTTTACAGCTAACACTGAATTTTGCCATGGGAATGGCAGAAAAATAGCATTTTGGTCTGATAAATAGATAGGGCATGAACCTTTAAGAGATAGGTTCCCTGAAATATTTAGGTTAGCACTTCTACCTAAGACAACAATCAGTGAAGTATGGAGCCAACATGGATGGAATCTCAATTTCAAGAGAACACTAAATGATTAGGAAATGGAGATAGTGACTGCATTCTATCTAACTATGGAGGGATTGAGAAGACCCGATGACAATGAGGATACCATGGTATGGAATGGTATGGGCAGCAAGGTATTCACAGTAAGAGATGCATATACTTATTTCTCCAATAATGGACAACAGAACATCGACTGGCCTTGGAAGCAAATTTGGAAGATCAAGATACCTTACAAGGTTAACTGCTTTACATGGCTAGTAGCAAGGAGGGCTTGTCTAACTCAGGATATTCTTCAGAGAAGGGGTATCCCATTAACCTCCAGATGCTTCCTCTGCTGCAAAGCTGAATTTGAAAACAATAGCTATCTCTTTCTCCATTGTGCTTTCACTTCCCAACTATGGAATCTATTTTTGGCCCCGGTAAATTTGAAATGGATAATGCCGGGAAACACATGTGATCTACTGAAAGCTTGGAACCATGCTAGTAAAATGGTCAATCAGAAGAAATTTTGGAGGATTATCCCAGCTTGCATTTGGTGGACCATATGGAAAGAAAGAAATAACAGATATTTTGAAGATAGGAGTAGCTCCATACAAGTAGTTAAAATGAATTGTATTTTAAATTTTCACTTTTGGTGTAAAGAGTTTTCTGTAGGAGATGCAGAATTTATTCTACAATTTTTGGAAGCCTTGTAAAGTTCACAAGGATAGTACCCTGTAAAAACTGTTGCCAGCATAATCTTTGTGTTGATGAATAAAACTTGTTACCATTCTCAAAAAAAAACTATGCCAAAACAAGCAACAAAAAATATGAGACTCTATTCTTTATCAGTGGAATATATTGTTACATCAAATATCTAAATCAGCAAAAGGATATAAAAAATTGAGTTCGGTTTTTATGTTGAACATTTAAACCACAACTATTTATTCCATGGTTCAGAATCTTCAGATGCAGTTAGAAACTCTTCCGATTAAAATATGGACTGAGTTTATTTCTTATTTCAACCTATATGCAAAATATATCTGCAAGACCACCAAAAATCGAACAATCAAACTTGAATAACCCATTTTGACTTCATCTCGAAAATACATAATCTAAGACTTCCTCTTCCCAAAGATTAGTGAATGAATAATCTTGAAACTAAAGAGCAGTCGAGTTAATTGAACTCAACATGACAACAAGCTTGCGGCAGCTTTTCAACAGTTACCTGAACACAACCACATCGCCAAGAGAGAACTTGAATTTTTCTAGGCAAAGCTTCTCCACTATAACAAAGTCACCTGCACCACAACGACTAATGCAGAAGTTTTCATCTTTATCCACAACAGGAAACATAAAGAATGTAAAAGAGAGGAAAAACAGTAGTTACGAGTCAAGGATCTCATGGAACTGTCATCGTGTGGATTAAATGTAGGAGACATTGAAATGCCACCAACAGGGACAATACTAGCATAACGATCAGATACAGTAAGTCCTATAAGCCCAAAGGTGAAATAATTCTTAGTTAGATTCAAGAGGAAGTTCACAGTTCCCATATTCGTGCTGCCTCAACCATCTGCATACATGTTCAAAACACAAAAAAGGAAAGTCAAAAATCACAGACGATTATAAGTGGCTTTCCAAATTAAAACAAAATAAGCCTAGAGGCCCTAGACGTGTTATTAATCCTACTTTGGAAAAGGATATATCGTTTTAACATCGTCAAAAAGGACTTCAATCAACTACTCCTCAGTCCCAAACTAGACAGGGTCGTCGATACATTTTTATGACGATGGTGTTCAGACCAGCTTGCGTGCACCTCGACTATTCCGCCGGATACCTGTTACCTCCCACCAGCACAGCATTGGGAAACACTGCCCACCAAGACTAGCTAAGGTAGATGAGAAGAAATCAACTAGTGCTTTTTGCCTCGGCTGGGATTTGAACACGAGACCTTATGTTCTCCTCCCACTTCATTCAGAGGCGGACGTAGCCTTTTGGTACTGGGTTCATGTGAACCCAGTAATTTTGACGTGAAACACAAAGTTGCACTATGTAAAAATCCACTAAATTATGACGAATAATAGAACGAATCCAAAACTTATACTCCCTCCGTTTCAAATTAGATGTGGTACTTTGCTTTTTAGTCTGTTCCAAAATAAATGACGTATTTCTAAATTTGGAAATAATTCAACTTTAAACTTTTCATTGAGAAGCTTTTATAACCACACAAATGTCATGGCCCCACAAAGCTTTTAAGACCACAAGTTTTAAAAGTCTTCTTCTTTTTCTTAAACTTCGTGTCGAGTCAAACTACCTAATCTAAATTGAAACGGAGGGAGTAATATATAATGGGGTTAATAATAAGAACTTCAAACATTAAACTCACAGAACTTTAATCTTGGATCCGCTTCTGACTTCATTAACCATTAGGCCACACCCTTGTGTGCGTGTAGATCAGCTATATAAATTACGTTTTGTTTAGAAAATCGGATTTTATTTATTTACCTACGTAATACACTAATCTACGTAACAATCGAAAGGAAAATAATAAGTCGTAGAAGCAAAATCTTGTAAAAATTATATACTATAGAACACTATATCAAACACAATACTGGATAAGTTTTCTTCCAGGAAAAGGAAGACCAAGAATTATAGTGCTTGAAAGAAGAAATAAGCATATCTACATTAATATATGGCAGCACTGCATTATGTGATAATGATATTATCTGTTTCAAACAAAAAAAAAGGAAAGAAAAGAATATCTATAGTACGTAGGAAATGGAGTAGTCTAATGAAACTTCCTCTTCCATTGCTTAAAATTAGGGTTTTCACTATTAATATAGGCTCAACCCTCCTCTACCTTAATACTCTCTCATTTTATTCAACAGTCGCATACAAAACAATTAGTGTTAACAAAAACAAGAGGAAAAGAAAAAGAATATTTACGATAATTAGGGTCCAATAATCTAACTTGTCCAACAAAAAGGAATCTGTAGTGAGTATTTACAATGTACTAAGCATGAAATTTAATGCTAGGGAGATAATTAACCATTAGCAATTGAGTAAACTCATCAATTTTTTTTATTTTAGTATTTTTTAGAACTATTACGGCAAATATTTCATTAAACTTTCATTGTTACATGAATAAAGTGAATAGAGGAGAAGTAATACTTACCGATGATACAGAGCCACTAGTGAGGATAGAAAGAAGTAAAATCGAAAGGAAGGACCGGCAGCCGATGACGGCCGTCGATGACGACGACGAGTGGTGTTAGAAGGATAGAACAATGTGTGCTTATTTTGGACAATGCTAAATGGGTCTGCGAAAGCCAGCGTATTGGTTAGCTGGGCTTGTGTCAACAAACCCACGGCAAGTGCATAGACAGCCATTCTCGAAGATGCTATTTAGAGTTTAACTAGTATTTATTTTGTCCTGAAATTTTAAATTAAACAATTCAGGATATTTTTTTTCTGAAAATTAAACTAAAAAACTAAAATTCAGGGAACACACTGGCTAATTTCTAAAGAGCAGTCCTTTGAAGTGACTACCTAGTGTAATTTCACACAAACATATCCTCCACTAATCCAATCTACAATAAAGACCATAAAGAGAGAGATTTGCACAAATAGGATTATTCGGTGTCATCTTTTAAATTTTGACCCCTGTAAAAATAAGTTTTAGAAAAATAGCCCTACTCTAGAACTTTGGAAAACCCTCCCGGCAATCCCTAGGATTTTTCATATGTCGATAATCGGGATTTGCCACAAAACATGACAATCGCCAAAACTCTTCATATGATGATCATAGGGAATTACTACAAAATATGACAATGGCCAAAAAAAATTATATAGTGAGAGAATTTATCAAAAAATCTGATGGATCGCCAGGATTTTTCAGCATTGCGGTTAAAAATCTTGATGATCGCAATAACTATTTTTTAAGAAAATTTCTGGCGATCGCCCGGAGGCTTAACAACACTTTGGCCGGAGACTACTTTTTCAAGATTTTTCTTAGTGAGGTTAAAATTTAAACGATGGTCCTAAAAAAGGTCCACCCAACATAACTTCTTGAAAAAGGTATAAAAAGGCGAGTAAATAGGGGGATAACGGAAGATAAAAGGAGGGAAATTTTTTTAGTGAAATTGAAGCTATGCGCTTAAATGATTTTCCATGAAAGATTGCGACCATTAGATTGCAACTCCAACCACGCTTCTAACTGGTGACGTATTCAAATGCGAGCTTACGGGTTACTAAATATGTGTAAAACTAAATATAGATAGGGTTGAATATATATATTTTATAACCCATTATTTCAAATCAGAATTCATATTGTGTAAATTTTAGATCTATGATTGTCTAATAGCTCAACTACCAAATACAAATTTTATTTTATAGTGTTACTTCAAGTGTGATGATATTTTTTAAGACTAACTATGTCTTTTGTTACATTTCAAATTCTTAATTTAAATGTTTCACCGTATCTTAAATAATGTATTTATTTTGATATTTATTGCTAAAATTTACATAAGTTAAACTGGGTATAGTTGATTGGAAATTGAAACGGACGCATTACACTGGATACTTAGTATGAATCAGAAATCATTAGTTGAGGACAAGCTCTAAGCATCATTCATCGATTGTCACAAGCGGGCTCTAAGCATGCATCATTCATTAATTATCCAATGCCATTATCTAATCTACGATATGAAAAAGAAAAAAATGGACTAAGTTGTTAGCGTCTAATTCCAATTATAAGATCATTGTTCTTGACTTAATAATGTTGACAATGGCCCATTGCGAACAATTATTAAGTTAGTTTAAAATCTTGTTCGGCTCGGAGCGGTCACTTGAATCGAAAATCGATTTACATCAAAAAACCAAATCTAACTTTTGTTCATCACCTTCAACCCTTGTATACGGGTAAAATCGGGGAGAATGCATACCCCAATTTTCCGGCTAAGAAGACGGAAGGAGGGCACGGGCACACGAGGTTGAAATCGAGGCTGGGAGCCTTTCGTACCGAGACCCATGAAAGATGAACAATGGGCTCATCGTCGGGCGTGATAAGGCAACGCTCCCCGGACCCGAAACGAGCTCTAGGACCTCGGGAGATATGGCAAACAGTTACACACGACTAACTGAGGGTCGTGATATCCGTACCTAACCGGATATCACGGCACTGATCTCGCCCGATGTCGGTTACATATCAGTAATTAGCGATAAAGGGAGATTTTTATCCTTTTTAAACTTGTACTAGGGATGAAATTCTCATACTATATAAAGAGGAAGTTTTTCTTTGATAACACACACTGTAACACGCATACCAAGGCAATACAAATTCATTTTTATGCTTTCTAGCTATTGCAAAGTTCTTACTTTACTGTTGTTCTTCATTCACAATTGGCTTCGAAAGTACTACAAAATTTAATTGCCCCAGAACCCCTTCAATTCCCTTCGTCCAGCTTCATCGCCGGCACCTCATTTTTCCTTTTCTTCCCCAATCATCTAAATTAGTTCCTTTAGTTACCATATTTTATTTGTCTTCCTTTTTCTTTCTTACTTTATTTCCTTAATTATCTCCCCACCAAATATGTAAAGAAGTTGCTATTGATCTTAATACGGCCGAGATTTTTGTGGTAATTTTAGTCCAATTGATATTATTCTGTAAGATTTATGTGTTCTTCCTTCCATTAGATGAATCTAGACAATTGTTGAGGTAAGGGCTTCATATATTCTTCTGTTTTTCTTTCTATTGATTTGATGTTAATTGTGGAAGTTTATTGTATAATCTTAGAGATTTGACTGTTACAATTAATCGCCAGACTTTTCTTCTATTTTTCAATACTCAAATCTCGCCCCAATCCCCAAATTCCTTGTTAACAGAAATTTCGTTTTTAAATTCTATATCTTTCTTATTTCGATACGCGGTTTTGTGATTCTTTCCATTCAAGTAGCAGGCCCTAAGTCTAATTCGCTACTATAAATACCACTAGTTCTATACATTAGAGGGGGGCTTCAGAATTACTTCCGACAACTGTTATTCACAACCATAATAACATCCTTATCGAGATTCGTTTCACGAGATGCTTTTCTATTCTTGCTATGTCAGCTGTAAGTCGAGGCAAACTTTGTTTCTTTTCATTTCTCTCGATATTTGGATTCTTTCTTGTTGTTGTTGTTCCAAGTTCATCGCTATAATCGTTGGGTTTATTCTACTGTCAAAACTCTGTTCGCGGGCTATTTATTTGGATTTTTGGTTTTCTTATTAATTCGGTACTCCGTCACTGGTTAGTTCCCTGAACGACGCATTTCGATCCCTTTTTGTGCTAGTTGTTGTTCGAATAGACTAGTTCTCCTCTTTAATTTTTCTTTTTTCTTTTACACTATTTGTGCGTTTTGTATACTCTTGGCCATGCTGAGTGCCATGCGGCACTCTGTTGAGAGCATGCCAAGTTAAATGCCCAGGTACGACTCTAATCTTCATATGTGATGCAATCTCCATCCCTTTTGAGCTCTAATATATAACTAAAATATGTCTGTAGGAAATACTAACCCATAACCCATATGTGACTGTGTTAATCCATGTTTGCATGTAGCTCTTTTTGTGATTTCCTAGAGAATTAGCAGCTGTCATGTTTAGGATTAAGATATCACATTAATATATGCAGTACCAACTGATCTATAAGGCTATAGGAATCAGTTCACGAATTCTTCCTAAAGGGCTTTAAGTGATATTTGTGTGTTTCTCGATCTTTATTGTTTGCACATATTTGAACGTATCACATAGGTATCATGCCATTAGGTATATTTTCTAAGTTAATGAAAGACAATATTTGAATCGTTAAAATTTCAATCCCTTAACCTTAAAGTTGTTTGCTGGTATTATGTGTTTAAAACTACCTTGCCTAATTCAATGTACTTGTTTCGCCACTTAGACACCATGTTTAGGATTAAATGGCCTAATATACTACGGGTCCACTTGAGGATAGTATACCGGAAGATTAATAATGATATTCGCTTGCTTTGTTGGCTATAATATTACTGTCGGAATATATTTAACCACCTAGTTATGATGCCTATATGATACATTAGAAAACTTGTAATCTGAGGGTCTTGCGTCCATATTGGCTGGTTCTTTGTTCACTTGGACTGCTAAGACATGATCTAAACTTGTAGAAGGCATCCCCCTTAGAAGTAAGTGTTCATTATATCTTTCTTTAGCCGAGGACTTTGGCTTAATTCTACATTTGTACAGAGATTTTTCTCCGACCCATAAAGACTCACTCACAGCCTAGTTCTTGCAATATTAATGGAAACGTCATGAACCTGCTCTAGATTTCGTGTCCTAACTTGTCTGTTCGAATTTAAACTTGGTACTGTAATCCATGATGTATTCTTGACTTCTCCGTGGAGTGTTTGATCACATAGATATCATACTCTTGGGATGTATTAGTTCCCTGTAAGATCAGCAAAATTTTCCTCATATTGTCACGCCTCCTTTTTTCCGAGGGATAGGGAGTTTTTCCAATTAAAGTGACATTATTCGAAATGAGATTATTTATTTAATTAGAGTCGCCAATTGGAATAATATTATGGTGTCCCAAGTCACCGGTTTATTTTAAATCTCAAATCGAGGAAATTTGACTCTGTTTTAAAGTCTGCGAACACAGAAGACCGGGTAAGTAATTCTGTTAACTTGGGAGAAGGTGTTAGGCACTCTCAAGTTCCGTGGTTTTAGCACGGTCGCTTTAATCATACTTGGATTAATTAAATTGTTTAATTACTCATTTTTAGAACCTATGTACGTTTACCTTTTTACCGCTTTTAATTATGGTGTTTTATGGATTTATCTTTGAAACGGATAACTAGTGCGTAAATCCGTTTTATTTAGCGCGCTAAAAATCATGTCACACGTACGTGCACACAATTTATCACACTTTATTAATTATTAGGATTGTTTTTGGTCAAAGTCGCGCGAACGCGTACCTTAATTTAATTTTGAGATCATAATTATGCCACGCGAACGTATACATAATCACGATAATTGATTGAATTAAGAATGTGCCTAAAGCATGCTAATGATTATTTATGAATTGTTTAAATAATTTCCTAAGAGTTAAGATTGAATGTGAAAGGCCATAGATTATGGAATTTAATGTGGATAAGGAACAGATTTTACCAAAAGGAACTAAGGAAATTAGCCAAAGTCTACTGACTCTGAAGTTTTATGAATTGGGCCAAAATATCCCAAATTCCCAATATTCAAACATTGGCTATTTAAACAAATTGCACTTATTAACACAGCGTAGAGGTATATATGCAACTCGGTCCATTAAATTTTCCTAACTCCTTTCGTGTTCAAATTTGTGGTACTGACTCATCGTTTTCAAACAACAGCAATGTCAAAATCATAGGCCCCTTTTAGTTCAGTAGAATGTTTACAAATTTAAGAACAAAATAAGACACTCTAATGAATGGAGCTTAATTAATAGGAATCAAATCATTTACAGAGACACTGTGGCAATAATTCGAGTGATTATCACAATGGCATTCATATTACAATGACTATTTTCAAATCCCAGCTTTCAACACCAAATTATTGCTACAATTTCCAGTAAACTCACAAATCAACATGTGCTTCGACGGAAACTTCACTAAATAATAGAATTACAGAAGAGAAAGAGCTAGGCAGATCTGCCGAAATTAAACAAGGATTCGACCAATTCTCAACTAGAAAAAAAATGTAATTAAACTTATATGATTAGATAACCCAACGCAGCATTCTTAGCAGCAAAGTAGGGACCGAATTAATTCAAATATGCATCATGTTTCATGAGAATAACACAAAATCAGAAATCGAGCAGATCTTCAAAGCTAAGCAGGAACTCAATTGTTTAATCATGTACTAAAAGCATAATACAGAGAAGTTTCAAACTAACCTGGTTGAACAAAGAAAAACTTGAATAAACCGACTAAAGTCAGAAGCAAACCCAAACGGAGCTCAGCAATTCCAGAAGCAGTAAAAATCAGCGGAATCGAACAGTGATTTGAGTTTAAATCAACCTCTCAGCTTCGAAACAAACTCTACAGTTCCATCAAGCTCTGAAATCCCCAGAAAATGTGGGGGGGGGAAAAGATTTGAGACTGAAAATCAGCTTCGTAACTTTCAAATTTTAGCTCTGAATTCTGTAATTTCCACTTGTTACTAGAGGCTTCAGCGTGTGGGAAAGGGAGGAATGTGTATGAGTGAGAAAAACGAATGTGTGTAGATCGGATGAGAGTGAGAGATGAGTGAGATCGGATGGGATTTTTTCTGAGGCGGCTAGGGTTTTTCTTGGAGCCCGTTTGGATCGGATATTGTAACTAGCCTATAAGCTTCTAATGGTTAAGCGGTTAAACTAATTTTTAAAATAATATTTAATTGGTCGGATAAAAGTGTTGAAAGTGATAATAAGGAGTTAATGTGTTTGATTAAAAATTGTTGATAAGCTATTCTTTTGTTAAAATGACTAAAATACCTTTAAATTTTTTTCAAAAGATTATAAATTAAAAAAAAATTGTAAAGAAAAGAATTAATAACAAATATGGAAGGAAGAGAAATCCAAGAAATTTATTTTGGGAAAAATTATTTTGTGAATTAGAAAATATTATTACGGATAAACTAGTAAAAGTGTCGGTCAAACTAAAAGTGCTTATAAACTGAAAAGTATAAGTTGGGGTGACCAGCTTATGACTTATAAGAAATTTATAAGCACTTTGAATGTTTACCAAATACTTATAAGCAAAATGTGTTTATAAGTCAGTTTGACCAGGTTATAATCTTAGTCAAACACCGTCAAAGCAAACGGGTGGTCTCTCTCTCTTCTGTGTGTGAGGAAAGGGTTTTGGGAGTTTAAGGGGAAAAAACGACGTAGCTTTGGTGTCCAGCTACGTCGTTTTGGGTGAAAAAGGGAGGCTGGACCGGGTATTGGGCTGGGCAGGCGCGGATTTGAGGATATTGGGCCACTGAGATGGCTTTGGGTCCAAATTCAAATGAAGCTGATGGCCTTCTCTTTTCTTTCCCTTAAATTTTGCAATGTTAGCCATTCTAATTAACATAACACTTGGAAATTAATTTGCAAAATTAACCCCTTATTTGAAACATCTACTTAAGCTAATTAATTTGTGGATTCCAAATTTAAACTAATTAATTGAACCTAAAAAATGTAAAATAAAACTAAGAAAGATTATGTGCATTTTTTTAATAATTTTTATATTTTAATAATACTTTTAGCACATGGTTAAATCCTAACATGCAATTAAAAATCTATGCTGAACGAAATGAAATATATAAAAATATTTTTTGGTAATTTTCATGATTTAAGATATTAAATAATGCACAAAATGTAGCTAAATGCAAACAAACAATTAAAACGAAATTCCTAGAAATTCTATAAAAAATCAAAACAATTAGAAAGTTTATTTTTTGTGAATTTTGTAGGAGAATTTTCGTAGGGCAAAAATTACGTGTGATGCTCAAACATTAAGTGGTTGAGCCTTAGATTTGGCTACGTTATATTTCCTTTGTTTCTAATGTGATTTGGAGTGCAAGAGGATCTTCGGTTGGAACCCATGAAAGTCTGGAGCGCGTCTTAGTATACTTTCTTGTTATTACCATTGTATTTTGCTTTTGGCCTGTAAAACTCTAAACAATAGTCAATTGTTGTGTTGCTAGGAATGGGAGTAATTAATTACTTATAAGACCCAACAACTGTGTGCTTGACTCGCTTCATGTATTTATGTACTTAGTTAACTTAATCACATGCTATTTCGGCTTAGTTAAGGTACTGTAACATTCCCACACCTCTTCTTGCTTTGTGCTAGTTGTTTAATGAGTAAAATTTATGACTCTCACGATGTATTAACTTCTCTGAATATGGTTTGAAGCATATATTTTGAGCCTATAATAGTTATATGAATATGCTGCCTATTATATACTTTAACCTACTTGAAATAATATTTTTATACAACTTATTTTCCTAACTCTTCGTTTTTGTCCCTTACATACTTGTTCAAAGTTTAGTCTATACGTATTTTAAACATTAGTTTCAGAATATTTAGAATATTTCAAGATCTCATTATTAGCTTAACTTAATTCAGAGGCATATTTGAGTTGGCTTTTATTTTATTATTTGCTACTTGTTTAAGTCCTTCTGTGCTCATCTTATTTGATGCTTAGCTAAATCAGAGATAGAAACCTAAGTATTTTTCTTAAGTCTAGAACCCACCCTTTAGAGTAGTGTCTAATGCCTCCTGGACTATAGGAAGGGACGAGTAGTTATTTTAAGACGCGATTACCAATAGCAAACTCTTGAGTCATAATTAATTGTCTCATTCAACCCATCCGAACACATCCCGCATTTATATCATACTCATCATATAGTCATTCAACCGCTCATCGAGCCACAAATTCCACTCATAAGGATACTTTCGAACACATAAGTCCAAACGCACAAGTTTTCAAAACCAAAACTACCGAGCTTAAGCTGCGGTCTAACCCTGGCCTCAAGTCCTTCATACCGGCCATTCACCAAAACACAGAATACTCATCTCGAACCTCATTCATAGAATCACAAGCCGACGATGCACAGACGATACCGAGCGTTCACACGTGCACACGAATGCGTGGAAGGGATTCAAAGAGTCATATTTCAAGCTGAATCAATATCGCACAATAGAATACAAGAAAGTGAAATTTTCTAAGGGTTCGGCAGCCTCTCGAAGATAAGTACATACGTCGCCATACCGATCCGCAAGACTCTACTAAACATGCTCATGACTCGTGAGACCTATGTAACCTAGGCTCTGATACCAACTTGTCACAACCCAAAATCCTAACTTATCGTGATGACGCCTATCTCAATATTAGGCAAGCCGATAACCTCAATAAATCACAATAATCTCTTAAGTTTGAAAATAAAATATTTGAATTCCATAGAAAATCTCACAATTTCAGATACAAAACACTCCCAAAACCCGGTGTCACTGAGTACATGAGCATCAAAATAATAATAACGTATGACTGATAAACACACTGTCTGAAAATATGGAACAGTAAAATAACCAAAAGGAAAGAGAGTCAAGCTCTGCGGACACCAAGCAACTACCTTGATAGTCTCTAATAGAATAAACTCTGAAATCTAGCAGCCGCCGTATCCGGGAGCACCTGGATCTGTACACGAGGTGTAGAGTGTAGTATGGGTACAACCAACTCAATAAGTAACAAGACTAACCTCTCGACTGAAATTAGTGACGAGCTCAACATGTACGGTCTAGTGTAAAAATAACAGTACAAAAATGTAGGCATACTTTCAAGTTTAACATTTAAACTTAGTACAATTAAAATAGATCAATTATGAATGATATGAGATTTATGACATCTCTATGTCTACATGCCAATGTGCATACTGTATATGATGCACCTCAGTGAAAACCTCATGTACTCAAATCTCAAAATACTCAATCACCCAGTACTGTATATGGCCAATCCAGCCCAAGGAAGATCCATCTCATATGTATATATATATATATATATACACACACACACATCAACTGACAGCCAGTCACTTAGTACTGTATAAGGCCAATCCAGCCCACGGGAAGATCCATTCTCGAATATCAATGATTCAGACAAGATCCATGTCTAAGAAAAATCTATCCCTCAATATCAATATTTCGGGCAAGATCCATGCCCACAGAAGATCNTATATATATATATCAATTGCGTTCATTGTGGGGGTGCAGACTCCGGAGGGGCTCCTTCAGCCCAAGCGCTATATTAGCCAGATCCAGGCATAAATAAATAAACATGTTGCGGCGAACAACCCGATCCCATAAATATCACTCAAAATCTCCAGTCTCTCAGGCTCTCAATGACATGAAATAATCAACCCAACATGACTGAGATATGATATGTAAGACAGATGTGACTGAGTACAAAATTATAAATTTAAACAAATAGTTCCACATCAATACGACCCATGTGGGTCCCAAAATATATCAGCATGTATCCTGAACATGATCTTTAATATGAGACTCAGCTCAATATCATCTTTTATATATAATATGCGCTCACTGTGGGGGGTGCAGACTCCGGAGGGGATCCTTCATCCCAAGCGCTATAATAGCCAGATCCAGGCATAAATAAATAAACATGATGCGGCATACAACCCGATTCCATAAATATCACTCAAAATCTCCAGTCTCTCGAGCTCTCAATGACATGAAAAAATCAACCTGACATGATGATATGATGTATCAATAAATGACAACAGAGACTGAGATATGATATACAAGACAGATGTGACTGAGTACAAAATTATAAATTTAAACAAATAGTTCCATAGCAATACGACCCATGTAGGTCCCAAAATATATCGGCGGGCAGCCTGAACATGATCTTTAATATGAGACTCAACTCAATTTCCTCTAACACGTGGAGGATATATGGCTAATGACATGATTATTTGATTATGCAACTCCACAGAATCAATTAAGTTACAATTTCTATGGTGCACGCCCACACGCCCATCACCTAGCATGTGCGTCACCTCCATACAATTCACATAATACACAATTCGGGGATTTATACCCTCACAACTAAGTTTAGAAGTGTTACTTACCTCAATCTGAGCAATTCTTTATTCCAATAAACTCTTCCTCGTGATTCGGCCTCTGAACGCCTTGAATCTTAGTCAAAATATTTCGATATAATCAACAAGAGGTATAGGAATCAATTTCATATGAAAATGCTAAATTTCACAATATAAATCCAAAATTAATCCAAACTTTAATAGTGGGGCACACGTCTCAGAACCCGATAAAAGTTATAAAATATGAACGCCTATTCAACCACGAGTCCAACCATACTAATTTTACTCAAATCCGACTCTGAATCGATGTTCAAATATCAAAAATTCATTTTATGGAATTGTAGAAAATTCCTCCGATTTCTCTTAAAAATCAATAATATAACGCCGAAAGTGAAGATTAATTCATGAAATATAATCACAAGGGAGTCAAGAACACTTACCCTAAGTTGTGTGCTGAAACTTGCCTCTGAAAAATGCCCAAACCTAGCTCCCCAACTCTGTTTTCGTTACAAATGGCAAAAACCTCCCGTTTATAGGGATTTTAATGTTCGTGCACCACAGGTGGCATGGGGCGCTGCCTGTGGGTCCGTTTCCAGAACTTCAGAAGTACCAGCGCCCCACACTACCCTGGACGCTGACGACGACGGAAAATATTTCCCGACACGGAAATGGGCATAACTCTCTCATACGATGTCCGAATTCGATAATTCTTTTTGCTATGGCTCCAAAATTTCAATACCGA